TGTGCTGTGATATCAAGTTCGTATTTTACACCTTTATGTCGTACCCATCTTAACCAAGCCAATGCTGTCCTACATTTATAGTTCGATTTTAGTTTGCTATCCTTTGCAGGAAATGTGTGGGTAGTCTTCGTTATCTATACAAATAGATGTATTCATGATAGCAAATGCAGTCGATCAACTGTATGCAAGGGATGTCAGAGAAACGCCCGCTGGAGAATGAGCCGAAATCATCATCGAGCTAGTCAGTATTAAGAAGTCGGTCACAGCAACTTCAAAACGACTCAAATTACTCCTCAAAAAAATGTATCCAGCTCAAACAATGGTTAGGGTAATACTAGCCAGCGTAAGCATTTTCGTCTATCGGTATCCCATACCCAGCGCAAAGACCATTTCATTATCCGACTACATACGCCTTATCATGCCTCACAATACACACGTTAAATATTACCGCAGCCAGAACCATCGTCGGCTAAGGCCAGGGGACCGGTTTGCCCATTTCTGTCAACCTGCAGAGCGGGTGAGCTAAACTGCAGCGGCCGTTTCCGTGGCCAAATGAATTCAATACCACCATGCAGAGACATCAGCCGGTGACTATAACGGATCAACAGAAGCGCGAAAACGTGTCAATCTTTAGGGATCTAAGTATCAGTAATTCGATGAATGAAAGCATGCCGTTCATATTTGCTGGCAGCAATCTTTAGTGATCACCAACCTCATCGGTCTTGAAACCATCACTGTTTCCGTCGCTGCGTATACATGATCAACACACACGAACACTTGCGTATCTGTCCAGACGCTATGATTAACGAAGTCCGTTACATTGACGATCGCTGAGGGCATCATATCGTTGTCCAAGCGAGCCACAAAGCGCCCGACATTGGACACTATCAAGCTTCGATCCATCCGTGCTTAAACGGATAAGCAAATCGATCTTAGCCTATACTGCTTTTAACCATCCAAAGCTGTCCACGTGTGTGATTACGACGGCCTGTCTTTAGCCAACGATGTCCTGCCTTATGTTGGTCTGTGGCAAACAATTCCCAATCGCGTTTATGTAGTAAATTCAGGATCAATTGATGGGACGTAGACCGGTGACCACCACGGACCGGTGTACCTCCTCCGTAGTACGGAAAGAATGGGCAAGTGTAAGATCGATCCTCACACAACCGATTTTGTGAGATCGACTTCGCCTTTATTACATGTAGGCATCAAATAGCTTATCTTAAAAGGCATATAAAATGGACGGCATTATGCAGCCAGTGTCCGGGCATGAGCAGAAGCACGAGCGACGGTAACGCCTGACGAGCGGGAGAAGAATTAACGGTATCGTATGATCCTAGCTGTTTCACTGGCCAAAAATAAAAACCTGAAACTAGACTGGTATATCACTCGTTACGCGATCTTAAGAGCTTTCATGATAAGATACCACGCATCAAATCCGGCTACACCTAGTGCGCTCTGTATTGCGGTGCGTCGTAGGTCAACCATTTTTCTGCTTGTTGTAACGATGGAAATAAGCCTAAGAGACCTACTCAAAAATTTTAGAATCAGGAGTGTTACGGAACATTAATTTAGTTTTATAATTTGGAGGCCTTTCATATTAATAAACTCGTTTAAGGTATGGGGTTTAGGCTCATTGGTGAAGAATGAAGGCTCTTAAGCGGCTCCCTTTATATTATATATGTATTAATCAACGCCAAATATTTACACATCGTGAAACTCAAATAATAACATGTCTGAAATCTTAGGGATGGCGAACACTTATTAGGATTAATTTTTCGCATGAATACGATTTCTTCCACCTTAACATGATCATATTGTTTTTTAACTCCAAGTTTTATTGATTCACGTCATATGATAATAAGTGCCCACGTATCTTGTACGCAGCAGTAAATATGACACTTACTTAAGCATATATGGAGTACATGCGCAAAAAAGGCATGGGTTTAAGTAGACATAATACATTACATATCAGTGAGTTGAACATATTTGTGCTTGTCAAGTCCAAGTCAGTCTGGTACATTGAATCAAATCTATGATGATAGGTCGGCACAATTTCCATAGAATTCGATGCTTATATATCGAAAAGGATGGTGCTAACGAGCTTTAAAATACTAAAATCAATGCGTCTAATCCAATCATGATTCTTTGACGCACAGCAACGATGCCCAAACTTAATTTATGAGTATAACATAAATTTAAAATTGGAATGAAAGCCCCCCATTCATATAAATATTTAGTTAATTTAATACCTTTACATTTTGACTGTTCCCGAAAACGTAGCTAGCTTTCAGTATCAATATTAGGAAAACTTTTAAACAACGTACCGAGCGTGATTTACAATATGGAATTGTTTGTTAAAATAAGTTATTAGAAAAAAGAATGAGCATCTAGAGGCTTGGTCAGATCAACTTAATGTGCATCCGAAGCATCTTTTAGGTGTAATCTAATTTGCTTCGACGTTGAGCGACGTCCTGTCTTATGTTAGGTCGTGAATGTAATATATCTTGCCTGATAATTTTTAAATGATTGCATGCGTGATTGCGAGAGTATAGAACCTTTTGCACTGCGCTAAGAAAATTTATATTTCGCTATCTGCATAATACACATTTCAGAGCATCTTCTTACACTTTTATGCTTTCTATTATTTCTTTTGTTGCCATTTCATTCTAAGGGTAGGCAGGTGAGTTATTCCTACTTCATGTGTGCTTGTTTTTAAGCACAGCATTTAAATTGTACAACGTTATTCTGTAACTGATGTAAATAAATACAAAACCTTATATAACTTGAACAAAAATTATTTCTATTTAAAATTTATAGTCATCGAAACGCATCATGGTCTCTTGTCTACTATGTACCTATGATTATAGGAGACATGTAGTATCGGGTAATCGGCAGTATAATTTGTATAATAGTGATCCGAAGAATATAGTTCGCTGTAAAATTAACGACCGTTTATATCTGTCAGGTGCATAGAGTGAATTGGTATAGGCACGACCATATCCATTCTTCGTCCTGAAGACATGTCCATGTCACAGTGTTACTAAGAATTGTAATACGTCTTTAGTTAATGATATCCTTATCTTATATAGGCGGTAGTCTATGTGACCAATGTTACAGCGTGCGCTTGTGCCATGTTATGAACATATATGTAGTTATTGTTTTTTTATCTTGTGAAGTGTATGTATGTATACCTTTTCCTGTAAAACTAGTGCAGGAACACCTCGTTTAAATGTAATGACAAATTCTGCTCTGCATGTTAGTTGATTAATAGTCATAGTTTGGATTCAATACATTACGTATCGCTGATAGATGCGCGAAATGTGTGGTGCGCTTGTATTTAACTCGAAAATGTAATTTAGTTCTACATGTTAGGTACAAAATATGTAATTATTCAAATAAACGAGGTTTGTGAGGAGAATCACGACATTTTATGCATTGCTTAACCTTTTATATCTTATAGACCCTCTCGTCCGGGCAGATTGTCTTCTTCTAGGCGTACTATGTAAGTGAAGCAACATAGTACCTGCTAATGGTGTTATCAGTACTATTAGCTCATGAAAGTATACCTACAATCCAAGGATGCTCGATTATAGTCAATGTTGTCTACTCGCAGTCTTGCTAGTTTTGATGCTGCATAAGTAGACGTTGTATTATTATAGGTGCAACGCCTTCGCTATATCAATTCAGGGTAGTCTTTAAAATTGCATTGATCGCTCAAGAAAGCCACCTCCTATCACGTGCCTGCGTGCAGATCAAAATATCAAATTGTGGCATTTTTGAGCTGGCGAATGTGACTACAAGAACGCTTTCGTACTTGCGAAAAGTACTGACTAAACCTTGCTTACATTATCGTGTGTAGAATTATTGACTGGATAACAGTAACACAAAGCATTGCTGCAATTATGAAAACAATACGTGAACCGCATGCAACAAAATCTTTAACTCTCCGGCATTGAAATATTACATACTCGTATGAATTGTGGACTTGGCACGCTTGTGGCCCACTGAACTTAACTGTAGCTAAGGTAATTTTAAACGATATTTAACGCTTTGCTTTTGTACGATACCCCACTAGTATTAGCATGCTCCATGCACGACCATTTAAACAATTGAACTATGCAAAGCTGACCACTCTCACAAAAAATTTATGCTTAACTGTATAAAGATGGTGGACATGGGTACATTTTATGCCTCTTCTTGTATCAGCTAAGAGAATAAGTTCCTCAATTTGAAAGTATTCAATACAATCGAGTGTCAGGTTGGTTCTATAGGATGCACCACATCGGCTTGCATATTTCGTAGCGGTAATTTGCATTAGCAGAGGTCTTCAAGAATTAAATCAGTATGCCTAACGCTTGTTTAGTTGGGATGTTAAATAATCAGTCTGCTACGTACTATGTAAAATGTAATAGAGACACATGCAAAAGCACCATTACGTAGTTCTATTAGATCTGCAAACATCGTTTTGCTCGCTTTATTGCGTCGATGATCTCAGTAATTTCGCACTACTTTCGACGACTGTTGTAGCTAAGTCGCAGATCGTTGCTGCAGAATGTCGGCACGTCTGTTACATCTCAATATTTGTGGCAGTCAACCTGTCCGTAAGAGGTTTACATAATAAACTTTATGTATGCCTCGCTGATTGTTTTAAACGACTTTTCTCACAATATCGTATATGCAAGTGATCTTATGCTATAGTACGCGTTGTCTAAGGGAATCCCTAAAAATATATTGGTAATGGCTATCTCAGTTTTTTAACCAGTTAGGTCTACCCGACACACATTTTTGGCTCATGGAAATTCGAACATTATCGGAACAGGACCTCTGGCCAACAAATGGCGACTAGAAAATCTTCAACGGGCAATACAATTTCTGGCGAATCACCGTGCATGAATTTTGATTTAAAAGGAGGGGGGGTTCCACGCCGAGCCGAAGAAAACGCCGCTTGTGTTCCTCGCGCCGCAAATCCTACAACATTCCTGACTCAGCATCTTCTAATGTCCCGACTCATATTCGTCGCCCTCGGCGTATTCGCCTTGCTTTCTTCTCCGTTGAATGACGGCGGTCGAGTCGATGCAGTTCCCCAACAACAACCATCGAGCCACCATAAAAACGCGACGTCCGATCCGCCAAATTTGACGAAGGCGGATGAAGCTGGTATGGACTCCACCAGTCTTGTCGACCGAGGCCAAATGAAGACGAAGGGCTTTTCAATGGACGAGACAGTCTCGAAAGACCACGCCAACGAGGAGCGAATGGATGTGGCTCCCCCGAATCTTGAATCACTGTTGGCCGAGTTCGATGAGTACTCCTTGAAACTTCCCGTGTACAAATTCAGGGAACTCGGCCTCGAAAAGGGTCAAATGGACGTCCAAACCTTCGTGACCTGGCTAGATTTAATCACTCGGACTGTCAAGAAAGTTCCCGCGTGGACATACGATCGGGCTGTCGATATACTGATAGAAGCTGGACTCACAGTTGAGGCGGTAAAGGTGCTTCTAAAGCTGAAGGGCCACGAGAAATTCAGCGGGCAGGCCATCCTGATGTACAGGTATTTTGCCGAAAATGTCCCAACAGACTCCGATGCGATGGTTCAAGTGTGGAAAGAATTGAAATTGAACCCTCACCATGTTTTTGAGAGTCTCTTACTGAACGATCCAGAGGCACTTATTGCGTTCCCGGGATCTTCGATACATTGGATTAAGTACACTGAGCGGCTACGGAAAGACAACGCAGACATCCAGATGACCATCAAAGATACGGCGATGGCTTTATACAACAAAGAGTACGATCGTACGATCATTGACGGCTTCATCAAGGAGGTTGAGAAAGTGAACGATCTTAAACTCCTTGCTTAGCGGCTGCGTCAAGAATTTGAGTATATTATATCGGCCCGTTTTTTCAACATCGAGTACTAGCTGCGCTTCATTTCACGAACATGGTGACACGGAGCTGGACGCGATCGGCACTTGAAGTCTAGGACGCTGGCGAGAAGACTTCTCGATGCATTCTTTTCAATCAAGCTGTTGTACATACGTACGTAATAAACGTATTACCTATTGTGCTTATGGTACTGATTATTTTCATGCGGGTAGTGAAGAGGACGCTGCCACGGCTTCACTGAATCTGACCACGTGCATTTCGCGAGCCACACAAAGTAGTCACGACGCTAATTTACGTTGATCCGAAGCACAATAGTACGATGCCGCCTATAGGAGTTACGTTACATTGTCTTTGTGAAAGAATCGCTCACTGGGTGGTAGTTTAATGATAGTAGCATGATGGTTTGCCGTTGCGCTTCTACGCCTTCACCAGTCGACAGTTTACGAAAGGCAACCACATTTGTATCCAGCAAACATTATCCACTTTACGAGCTACATATATACAATGGCAATTTCGAACCATACGGCAATGTCCGTTTGCTAGCAGCTCATGTTTTTACTTCAGAATTGTCGTTAGCATTCGCCTAGCAAGCAGCTTAGTCTTCGGTCCTACACTACACATCGCATGGCCATGTATTCAGAGGAAACGACAGCAAAATTTCATTCGAGCATTGACTTCGCCCTGTATGCTCAACGTAGTATTTACTTACTCGTCGACTGCGTCCTGCTTACACAAAGACGAATGTCATTCGAGTGTTGAGCACATGAAGCCACTTTGCATGTTTGCATTCGCTACCGATACCATGTGATCTACATCTGATTGCGTAAACTCCATCATCCACTTTTTGCTAGATCCACGTATCTGACTATAGTGTAATCATCTGCTTAGAAAGAGGCGGTTTGAGACCTGGAAAGTGTGTTCTGTAGGATAAAGTGTGATAATCAGTCCCGTCACTAGGTATTTGAGGCGTGCGCGCATTTAAAAGTTGTACTATTTGATAGCGCTTTGTTTAAATCTACTTTCCTCTCCTCTATCCTTGTATGACCTTTATTATTCACTGTGTAGACTTGCACCGACAAGAAAATACCGTTATCGAGATGATTTTACACCGAAAGGTCAATTACTACCGATCGAAAATTACACACTTGTACTTTCTGATACACTTAGGCTTTGCTCTCTTGGGAATAATCTTTAAAATGTCGCAATGGGCAACAATAGACGTTGATGTCCTAGCTGAAGAGGGAGACTTATAAACCAATTCTTACACATGCCGATACCATACTATATCTGCTACACCATCTAACTACATAAACATACCGTCCTCGGTGCGTATATGAGGCTAGGGCACTTTTCTTCTGGTGCATGATCGTGCTTGGCAAAGCTTATATGTTGTTCATTAGTCAAAGATAATGTGTATTACAGAAATAATAGAATCCAACTGCTACACAGTAAGTCGTTATATACCGAGGTCAATCGGAGACTGTTAAGTTCGGTTGTTGATGCTGTTGGCTACTTTTATAGGTAATTGCCGACGTACTTTTTTGACAAAACATTTTACTCTCATCATCTACAGATCACTCGTAAGTCTTTTTTTCGTACGGAAATGTCTGCCATTTCATGGTAGAAAACGTACACCAACTCAAAGATACAGATGTGCTGAAGCAGTATCGATTGATATCATCAAAAGTTGTAGAGCATGAGGATTGAATCACAATTCTACATGTCGAAGTCTTTCGAAAGCAATTGATACTGATACATCGCAATTTCATTTTCCAGCATATGTCCGTTTTCTTTTCCAGGCGGAAGATACTCACATTATACGTTGGATCAGCCTATTACCCAAGGACATGCGTCGTCCGTGAGCACATCTCGTGTCACTCATCACTAAAGGGTGATGACTGCTAGCACTTGTACTCACTTCAATGAGTGGACGATAGCAATTTGTTGCTAAAAGCATGCGCCAAATTCATAGTATGCGTCGATGCGGATAAGTGCAGAATGCGCAACTCCAAATATGCTGCTCCAGTAGCTAAGCAATGGAAAGAGGGGCTGTAGAATATTAGTATATGGCAAAGATTCGGCCATACGACGTGGCACTCCACTAAATAATAAATTTGACGCAGGTGAGTGTATTACGAAACATGTTTATATAGCATGGTGGTTTTTACGTAAAATCACGAGAATAACGTCTCCACTGCATGCAATTGTGAAGCGTAATAAAACAAATATATATCTTTAGATCTTTAGATGTTTTATGTTATAATTATCGCATATCCGCAAGCAATGTCAAGCAGCTAATACGACCTCATTTCGCTGAAAATTTACAGTATAAATAATGTTTAACGAACCTTTTTGAACCGTACATACTTCGCAACATTTTATTTATTGATTGAAACTCGTAGCTTGCACCCTTTTAAATATATGAAGGAATATTGAAGGTTTTGTGATACCAATATTGAAATGTGTGTTTTGGCGTACATGCCCCACACTCGAGCTCATATTTTTGCTTTTACTATCAAATACTTCACAGGTACATATGGATTTCAATGTTCTACAATTTGTCACGAACAATGTTCCTAAATTTATGTCGGGTCAAAGTATCTTGGCCATTCGTTTTATAAACGCAAAATCTCGGTAAAGGCACGTCTAATTATTTTTGCCTATAGTAATAAATTATTTAAGAAACCAACAATATAGGATCAAACTTACCAATATGTTTTTAATAAACAATTTTTGTAAATCATTATAATTCAACTCATATGTTCTCTAGCCGTTTAAAACATCTCCCATATGAGATTGCAATGTTTACTAATTTTCAAACGATTGAATCTCGTATTGTTTCTATAAACTTGCACATATGATTGCTCGCTTAGCCAAATGTTTAACCTTATCAGTTATCTTTACATACATACACGGTAGCTTGTACTTATTTCTCTTAATATTATATTTACCATCTAGGTTATCTGTGCTCACCTTATATTGCATACCAAACACGATCCTGTATAATTTAATGTGGTATCGATGGGATATTAAATTGCTTTTCCACCACTTGTTGTAGTCCACAAATACAAAGGAATTCTTTTCATTGCAGGCAATTACCCGTCTTCACAACATATGTCCGATGTTCAACCACTTCGATGTCTATCGTGTTTGTTTCATCCGATGTTTCACTTGTATAAATCAAGCTTAAAAGAAGTTTTACCATCTGCTCGTCGTATAAATTAATATAGCCGATTGCTTACAGAGTCATAGATAGCTCATTGAACTATTAACTTATACCCATCAACTCTTTTTCTTTAGGCATTTATATCATGCAGCTGCTATCGCACCTGCAATCGATATTGTTGTTTTTAAATGGAAATATCTAAAAAGGATCCTCAAAGATTCTTCAGTCCTTCTTTTTAATTTGTAACATTATAAGAAGACTTATAGAAGCTGATTAATGCACAATTCGGAATGTCCTAATCATTTTAATGTCACATACCAACTCGTCAGGATTCGTGTCATTAGGTGCCTTCGTCGGGTCGAAAAGCTCCAGTAGCTTTTCCTCGCGAGCCCTCAATTAACATACTCCCATGCACAGTAATTATCACTATGAATTCATCAATGCCCACGCTTAACCTTGTAAGGATGACCTTATAAGGCCGATAATAAATTTTTACAGAGCATTACCCTATGACTGTAAAAATGAAATGTATATTCTCTAGCTAAATCGTAGAATTGTTATTCGAACAATTGTTTGACTTCCCTTTTTATTGTCGTTTATCGCGCATAACAGTAACCGGGAATCTGCGCGCAGATGGACGTACATTTAATGTCGTATTTAATGCCGATGTAATGGCCTCAGCTAGTTTGGAACGTATTTATATTAAAAATTCATTCTATGTATACAGGTAAGCTACTTTCAAGTTTGCAAATATAGCTAGTTTTGTTTTGTTGTGATACAAAGTTTAACAGTCATTGAGCCAATATATGTCGACGCGTAATTAATTATTTATCATAATTATTAGACATCTGTTCTAGTTATTATTTACTATATACAAAGAGAGCGCGAATTTATACTAATCGTATCTAGAGCTTGGCTACACATTTTCTCCTAATCCACTACGATATCCAAACAGGTATATGTTTTTCACCGTTACAAATGATTGCAGCGAGCATACGTTACGTTCGGCACTTACCCTCGATCATAAAGGGAGTTATTATCACATCCGAGAGATAACCTATACATGATATGTCTATGTCACTTTGCCGTAGCTAATTTTTACGTTGAGAATTCCGCGAAGCTAAGCATTTATTTTTGAATCGAACAAACATAAATCATTATCCCTGTTGCAGACAAATGTCGAAACATTCACTAAGGATGAAATTATTCTGCCCGACCTAAATGTAAGCGTTAGGGAATGACAAGTTAACTACATTTGTTCCATGGCTAAGGTTTGTCGTTAGGTTGCACCATCGATATTTTTCAATTATTACTGGCGCCTACCGGAATTCGTAATTTGTGCGAAATAGTGCACGTCTCTTATATTATCATGAGGACTAGTATTTCACTCATACACAAGCATAACGCTTGCAATAGGTCAGCTTATTCAGGATGTTCCAAAAAAGGTACGAAAAGACACATATATTACAGCAGGTATTACGGAAGAGGACGGGCAAAGATGTCGTACGCTACGAGTCAACTCTTCTTTTATATAATAACAGCGATAGCGTATGTTTTCTAGTTAAACAAAATTATTTACGTCATCACGATAGACTTAGGCAACAGATCTATGTATAGGTTTTGCAATGCAAGATATAAGTTGTGAAAGAGAGCACCCTCAATTATTTAGGGCATTATATATAAATCATCAGGATTTGCGGTCGCTCTAACATATGAGCGTTGAACATTCTATTTCGGCAAACGGCAACGATACGATAGTGGTGGACTATGAGAAGTTCTGTTCAAAAGTTCCAACTTTGGCTTCGTTTG